AGCTACAGGTATGCATCGTTCTGGTTCAGAAGCTAGTGCTGCTTCTCGCAAAACCACCATGTGATCTTCCGCCGCATGGAGTGACTGGTCAATCCAGTCTAAACTGCCGGACATGTGACAGGCGTTGCGGGTGACCAGGACCAGGTGGCTGACAGAAAGGAGGAGAGCGGTGGCCCTGAGAATGAATAAAACAATCATATTCAAATCAGTGAGCTGTTGAAGGAAGAAAAGCATTTTTATCCCAACCTCTATCATCCATTTGGCCATCTCCAAAATTATTACAGATAAATCAAGTCATGTTGTTGCTCCCTCCTGGCTTCTTCAGGCACCTAACTAATCACTGAAGCTGAAAGTCTTTTGCATTAGGCTATCGAAGTCACACCTCTCTGGAAAAACAGATCAAATTACCTGGCATCCAAGAGGATTGGATCCAGAGGAGGGTACATAGATCTGACTACGTCATCCACCCTGTGAGACGGACAACGATAAAAGATGGTCAGTCCATCTTAGTTACAAGATAAAGTTATAAAGAGTGTATCACGTTACCTTGGGCTGATCCGCTTAGCCACAGTGATAATATCACTCAGGCTGGCTGGTGCTTTAACTTTTGCCCCTGAGCCCATCGTCATCGCAACCAGCTTTTCAGTCAAAGTGTGGCATATCTATATGTGGAAGTAATTGTAACAGCAGCAGTTAGCCAAGTTAATAACATCTAGCAATTAGAAAATTACATAAATGTCATTAAATCTCAATATTTAACTTTAACTTTGATGCTTAGTAGACAACAAGTTGCTTTTGTGACTTAAACGAACGGGAGCTGACAACCGAGACATTCTAAAGTCAGAAAACCCTTCAAGACTTTGATATGCCTACTTAATCTAAACAGACATATAAATTAAAGTTAGAGCTAAATCAGTAAGTTAAATATTTCTGTTACCTTCAGGATAGAGATACAGTGAGACACCAAACCACTGTTGGAGAAAAGAAAACTCAAGAAATTATTTGCAATCCCTGACAGAAAACAGTACATGCATAAAAGCTGTAAACTTCTATAGTTCTACAATGACACGTGTAAGACATACGAGGCATCCTCTATCCAGTCCTCATTCTCTAAGATTGCTTCAATGTGAGGGTTAGTGATGACTACATCATCCAGCTCCAGCTCAGAAGGTTCGCTCTGAGTCTCCATGGCTCCAATCAGATCCACTGTGGGTCTGTGAAACAACAGAAGTAAGAGGAAGCTGAATAAAGACTCATTACAGCAGAGAGTAACTGCAGATTGGGGATTATTTAGTATTTACATATATGTGTTGCAATATATCAAAAAACTTTTTAAGAAATAAGAACTTTTTAAAAACCAAATGACTAAATGCTGAACAGACACAAACCATGTCCCTTAAAAGGAGGTATTCTACTCTGTAAATCAGATTTAATCTGATTAAATGGTGATGGACTGTTATTAATTTAAATCATATTAAATTCATTTGTTAAGGCCAAATTATATTCCTACATGCCTAGATTATTATGATGAAAGGCCTGATTTACACTTACCACACACTTTATTAGATAAACATCTTCAACTGCTTGTTAATCCAGATATCTAATCAGCCAATCACATGATTGCATTGCACCCGTCACTGCATTTAAACATGATCAAGACGACCTGATGAAGTTCAAACCGAAGACCAGAATGGGGAAGAAAGGTGCTTTGAGTGATAATGAACATGGAATAGTTGTTGATTCCAGGCTGGCTGGTCCAAGTACTTTAGAAACCACTGTTCTACCGGCACTTTCTCACACTACCATCTTTAGGGTTTACTAAGAACAGTTCAAAATCTTTTTTTTAAAAAAGGGAAAATATGCAAGTATTCTCTGGAAGAAAATACATTGTTGCTACCAGAAGTCAGAGGAGACTAGCCAGACTGTTTTAAGCTGACAAGAAGGCAACAGTAACCCAGTTAACTACTTGTTACAATCGTGGTATGCACTCAACATATGGGCTACAGCAGCAGAAGACCACATTGGGTACCATTCTATCAACAAAGAACAGGGAACTGAGGCTATGATTGTCACAAGCTCACCAAAACTGTCTGTCTCAATTTCCATTGTGGCATTCAGATGGTAGGGTCAGAATTTGGAGTAAACCAAGAAAGCATGGATCTATTCTGCTTTGTATAAACATTTCTGGTTAGTGATGTAAGGGAGTGTTCGGTATTTATTTAGGCACATTTTGGGCCACTTGGTACGAACTGAGAGTTATTTAAACCGCACAGTCTTCCAGACCATCTCCCTCCCTTTATGACCACAGTGTACCCATCTACTGATTACTTCCAGCAGAATAACACTAAGGGAATGGGAGATTTGCATCATCTATGTGCAGCTGACAAATCTGCAGGAAATGTGCAATGCTATGATGTCAGTATGGAGAAAGATCTCTTAGTAATGTTTCCAGCAACTAGTTGGAAAAAAGTAACACAAAAAATTCAGGTAGTTGTAAAAGTAAATGGGGTCCAACCCAGTATTTCCAAGCCTTGTCAAATGTTGGTAAGTCCCAAGACAAAGTGAAAAAATAGGGTGCACTTCTAAATGAATAAAACCGGATGTTTTTTATTTTATTACTGTTCTATGTATATAACAAAAATGCCAGATCAAGTCTGTGGAAAATTACAGTACGGATATTTCTCTTACTTCAAAAAATTGTGGTAAAAGTTTTGTGAGCCTGAATTCAACTGGAAGAAACTCATGTCTCATAGATTTAGAGGCTTTGCGCTGATTCACTGACTTTGAGTCGAAGTGGTGTAGCAAGTCGTGCGGGTGGCAGTAGCGGTGTCTGCACACCACCACCAGGGCAACGAAGGACGCCAGGAATATGGTGGCCAGTACCCCGATTGCCACAATCACCACTGTCTCCATGGCGACTCTGGCTCCCACAGCTCCTGTAGATGGCAACTCGTCGAGGGGGAAAAGTGCCAAAGCTCAATTACAGATGGGCGCTCATCTGTTGTGGAAAGAATAATTGGTAGGTTTAGTTTGATTGAATGAAAACACAGAGGAGAGACATTATCACAACACTTCTGGATATTTCTCTTACAAATTTTTGTTGCAGTACAATTTAGGCATGCCAGAGAGGAGAATACAATAAATGTTTTGTCTCTTTCTAAACTAGGTACACCTATAATACACACATAAAAGAGAACCTTATCTAATCATACTAAGTGCACTTGCCCCTTTGTTTTGCACTTCAAACAGTATTTGTAATGGGAACAGACTGTTCAATTTACATAGTCTTATTCCAAGACTGGGTAAACATCTTCAGTAGCAAATCACAAAGTCAACAGCTTAAAAGTTCCTACGTGGAAAAAGCCTGTTAAGACTCATTTTGATTAATAGTGTAACTAATATACATGCAGACATGTCGCTAAGCTCACAGTCTAAACAAAAGAGAAAATCTCCTGACCTCTACTTACCGACGTATTTTTGGATCATCCAGTTTAATATAGATGGCATTTAGCCTATCAGATTGTAAAGTATACACCCTCTGCCCAGTCTAGTCACTCATTAACTTCCCCTGCCATACCTGGTAACTATTATGTGTGCAAACTCTCTGTAGCGCAGCTGTCACTGGATAATAATGCAGGCCTCTAGGTGTGGCACAACTGATTTGTTATTTGTGAGGTCGCTTAAAAAACAATGATTTGGTTTTGTAAATGGTTACAAGCACAGCTTATTAGGCAGGGCAGCTGAACTTTCAACATTGCAAACCTGCATATTTGCCTGGATGATTGTGAGTGTGTGCCATGGAATGCTGTAATTCTCTAATCAGATTAATTTGTGTTACACTCACCGTATCATACAGGGCTTTCTCCTGCCTGAGAGCTTTTCTGACTCTTTGTCTTTTCGCAGGCCAGTGGTTTCTGAAAAATCAGTAAAGCCTTCTGCTAAAAGAGAAACAGAGGTAAACAGATTGATTTGAGGTATTTTGGGGCATGGAAAATCTCTACAGAGTCGCTCCCACATTCCTTAGTGCAGTCTGTGTTAATAGGAGCAGCAGCACAGCTTTTCATTACACTTCAGTGAAAATTTCTGACAGCTACAGTAACTAATTAGATCTCAAAAGTCAGGCAAAACCCGTAAATATGCTTAAAAGCAAAAACTGTACTCAAAGTAGCCCTCTATAAAAAGTCAATAAAAAAATACCATGCCATTTTTTCCCCCTCTTAAGTAAAATTGTAAGTACAGAGCCAGTTTAGAGTGTGAGTAAAGAGCTTCCACGGGTAATACAGCATTTCGGTAATGAGGAATAATCATGTCTCAGTCAGTACTTTAAAACTGCACAAGCTGTAACTCTTTAAGGGAAACTGTTCGGGGCTTCCGAAGAGGAAAAAAGAAGAGCAACAAAACTTAAACACCTAAGTTAAAAAGTTACTGGAACTGGTGATAATATTATGAATACTACATATAGTCCATCTAAACAAAAACTGACACACACACACTACAAGGCCTTCATTAGAACAGCCGAGAAGAGCAACGCAATTAAACATCACCACTGCAAATGTGAGTTTGGGTTCCCTTTTCATATTCATGCTCTTATCGTCTTTTCTTGAACAAGAGATCAATGAAGACACACCTCTACTCTGATTCTCAGTTAATAATCAAATCCCAATAAAACTTTTCTACTCTCGGTGTTTCACAATTAGAAACATCGACTTTCTAACTTTTTAAATAAGGCTAAAACTTAGTAAATACTTCTAAGGTTACGCTTTAATACCCAGGCCACTTTTTGATCTAAAAGAAGATCGCAAATTATGCATTTCCCGGTGACTTACCTGGACATTTTTGTCCTTTTAGTCGTTTCCTGTGAGGAGACAAAACAGTTTACGCTCCGCCGCCGGGAGCGCGGAGACGGCACCGACATCTCCAGACCTGGCACGTGAACGCGCAGGAAAGCAGCTCATTAGGCGCAGCGCTGAAGCTGTCGGTGAGTGACTGATGATCAAACTTTTCCCAGCGCGCGCCGGACAGCGTAGCGTTTAGTCTCGCGCGCATGCGGAAGGCTTGAACCGTGTGTGCGTGCGGCGCGCTCTTGCTTGGCTGTTAAGCTGCTTTTGGAAATATATCTACAGCGAGTGTGACACACACGGCTGTTCAGCTAACACTGGGTGGCGTACCCTCACTGCTCATCTAACACCTGTGCGAAGGTGACTCGCCACACCCGTCAGGTCCCGTGCTGAAGTTACTGCAGTGGCTGAAGCTAATTAGCAAACTAGGGCTACTAGTGATGCTGTTACCAATACACCTGTAAAGGTAATTAATTACATTTATGTAAGAACTTGTTGCGCGTTTTTCTTTATATATGTATCTGCATTTAAACTCAGGCAGGAAAATATTTGTACTTCATCGCATTTAGTATATTCAGTTACAATGTTGATATCACGCAGCTGCAGCATTTTGTCTCGAAACAACTGTTATCTGCACATTTCGACTTTTTTCTTGAAATTTCGACTTTATTCTCAAAAAGGATCACTATATATTTTTTCCCTCTATGTGGTCCTAATACTCTTTAATACCAAAGTGCTATTAGTTGAAAACATGTGTCAGCATATTTTCTAATCGTTTTTTATTTGATTTCATTTTTTCATTTAGTTCATTTAGTTCATTTTTAATTAGTTTACAGAATTTATTTTCTTGTTTCAGTTTAGTTGTTTTATTGTTTCCAAATATTTAGGTTTTTTTTTTTTAATTAGTTTTTAATTATTATTGTATGAAGGGCACATATTAGTAACAAGATTTGGGAAAATCAGTACAAGTATTACAATAAAACAAAATGATTTGAAAACCATTACCTCAGGCTTGTAGACAGTCTCTAAAAATATCCGTCAATTCCTCGTCAGACAAGTGGTAACACAATTATTTACCAAAGTAATGGATACTAAAACTAAGGATATTTTTTCTTTTCTTTTCTTTTTAAATTTTAGCTTAGTTAGTTTTCCAAGTTCACAAATTGCTTCAGTTTAATACTTTCCCAAAAACCCATCAGAAATGGTCTCAGTGGAAGAGTGGCCGTCAGGAAGCTATTCTAAAGGAAAGGAAACGGGGAGACAAGCATGAGTTATGCAGAATTCACTGGAATGAATTGGAATGAAAGTCCGTGTCAGCAGGTTTCACAGAGTGCTGAATCCAATTTTGAATTTTATTCATGTCATTATCATTGTATAAGTTGGAAGTCAGAAGAGTGGTACAAAAATGAGTGTCTGTAAAGACAGTGGAGGCGCTGTCAGTGCTCTTTGAGATCCTGTCAAAAATTATAGAATTATGAATGCAGGAAACTACAGTCAGTTTTCGATCCATCATGCAATACTATCTGGAAAGCATGATTGGCCACAGCTCCATTCTTCAGCAGTAATGACTGTAAACCAACAGACTCATACCTGGATTTAAAAAAAGAAACATAAAATGGAAGACTGTGGATTGGTCTCCTCAGAGCCCAGACCTCAACATTATTGAAGCACTGTAGGATCATCTTGACAGAGAATGGAACAAAAAGCAGTCAACCTCCAAAGAACACCTTTGAATGTACTTCAAAAAGCCTGGAGAACTATTCCTGACTGCTTGAAGAAATGGCAAGAAAATCTGCCAAGAGAGTTCAGGCTGGTTTGAAGAACAAAATTGGTCATATCAAATCAAAGTGCTGTTGTTTTATACACTGTATTTCCATGTATTTTTTGACGTTTCAGTAAATTGCTGAAAGCAAAATATAAAGAAATGCAGGGTGGCTCAAGACGTATGAACAGTATGGTATAAAATCTAAATTTATTAGAAATATAGAAAACAAACTGAGGAAATAAAATAAAAGTAAAGATGAGATAAGACTTGAAAGCAGCAATAATTCAATTGTCCCCATATTTAAATAGCCACATGAAACTTGTGATGCATCTTTGGGCTACATAAATGAATATATTCATATCTTTATAGTGCAGATCAATACAAATACTTATCAGACAGTAATGTATTTAAAATTAAAAAAGGCCAAGGGTCATACCTCACAGTCTGCCTATATAACAGCCTACACTTTGTAAAATGGACTATTCTCCATAATTAAAGTGTTTAAACTGTTGCCGTGCTTCAAGTCTTTATATTTTTACACTAAACACTTCTACACAGTGGACTTTTATTTGGGTTAAAAAGGATCAGCGCTTCCGTTTTTGGTTTTAAATGTGCTCTGTAAATAAGTCTCTAGCTTCGCTCACCACTGTATCTGCATTTTAGACCCTTGCTGTATTTTTCATGGCCAGAGAAGCATAGGTGGAACTAATAGCATTAATTAGCAGCGGCTTCATTCCAGTCAGTCGTCTGGAAAAGCAAACATGTGCCATAGTGTGGCTCTGTTTAACAAACAGCAGACTAAAGCCATAATTAATGTAACCACAGGAGTTTTGTGAAAGCTTTTTGCCGTTACGTGTCAAAATGCTGTCCGTTTTGCTTTGTTCTGTTTTGTCTGACTTTTGGTCAGTTACACATTTCACTATTAAAATCATCATAAAATATAAGGATTATCTTTCTTTTTAAATATCTAATTACAACTAATTTTGAATATTGAGTCATTGGTGTGCTTTCTCCTTATTGAGTTGAATAAATACATTTCCTTTATTAGTGACCCGTGAAACAGCACAATCTCAATTTTAGCCAGTAGGCTGTTTTTAAAGAATGGCATTTAAAACTTTTAAGACAACGTGGATCTTAAGTCTTTAAAGTTTTCAAGAATCCACAATACCCTGATAAATGACAAATCCCCTGATGATATGATCTACCTGCAACTTTTGCAGCTCTTTCAGTCCATACTAAAGTTGTAGAGGGCCATTTCTCATCCCAGACTTGGAGAATAATTAATAGAGTACAACCTTAAGAGGCATGGCCCCTGTGCAAAGTTGTAACATGTGTTTTTGTCATTCAATCCAACACTGGTACTCCAGTCTGGTGGTGTTTCTCATATATTAATGTCTTACATCCACTGTGTGTTCTACTTTATCAGAGCTGATCCATACCACTGGCAGAGATGATTATTCTGAATTTGGAAATTAACATTAAAAGCAGAGTACCTCAGCATAGAGCCAGTAAAAGCTGCTTTATGTTTGAGCAATCCTGTCAGTCACTGCCGTGCATCATTAGGTGTTTGTGCTGCATCCTGGTATAGCTGCATCTTTGAAGTTTATCCCTGCACAGTAGTGAATTCACTGACTGGCAAGAAAGAACTAGGCCAGCTTTTGGCTAAAATAAGTCTTTTTATTTTTGGACTCTGAGCCGCAGTATCGATTTTCTTAGTTTCACTAAAATATTTTTCATCTCAAAGCCACAACCACAAAAAGTCGTTCGGTATGTGCTGCTCATTCATCTACCTTGCCTGGGGGCAGCTGCTTATCTTTTCTCTCATGGAAGTAGAGTACTCCAACTCATGTCTGTTAAAGCAAACTTTACTCTTACCTTTGCAATACTTGATGATCATTAGCAGCCAGCTTTGAAGTGGCACCATGTGTAAGGTTACATTTAGCTGCATTTAAGCGTTTTTCTCTCTCTTGTGGACATATTGTGAGGCTAAGGTTCTGTCTAGTAAGACATTCACTGATTTTTCTAAAGCTACCTCTCAAATCTCGAATCTTAAACAGCAATTACTGTGCTATCAAAATGTGGGAAGGTTTGCCTGCTGTTCATAATCAGAACCAATGGACTGTATCGTAACAGAAATCTCCATCTGCTATGTTTTTTTCCTGAACTTGTAACAAACTGGTGCACCAGCTGTAGAGTCCTGCTGCCGGCAGGAGGTTGTAAAAAATGCACAGTTCTCTTGCTACTCTTTTGTTTTTTTCTCCTCACTATCACCTTAGAACATGAGCCGATTCCTGACGATAATGAAACACCGTGTTAGTCTTTCTGGTATTGTCCTTGAACCCTTAACATAAATGTAAAGGAAGGGTAGTAGCTGGCGATTATCCACCTTCAGCTGATTGATATGGAAGGAGGAGGTGCTTTCTTTTGCAGCCCCTGTGCCCTTTCATGACTCCTGTGGCCCTGTGCAGCTCTGCGGGCAGGGGATGGAGGGTCATTAAGGGTTCACATGTGGAGAGGAGGGCGTCTGTCTTCTGTAATGAATGGTTGAGGGTGGTCTTAGCGAATCTGTGGATCTAGAGCAGCGCTCTGGTGATTTTTATTTATTCCTCGCTGTCTCCTAATCGGAAACGGTGGGAAACATTTTTCACCATCAGTGGTTGACAACAGTCTTTGTGTTTGATGCCTGCTGCTGAAAGAGCGGCTATACAAATATGTTTCCATCAGCCTCCCTTGCAGGTGCGGTTGTTTAAGCAGAAAATCTATTTTGTCAATTTTTTGCAGGGTTATTTTATATTATTTTATTCAAATTAAATTCAGTGCTTTCATAAATGGGTATATAAAATTTGTTTTCATCCTTTAGATTTAATCAAATGCTCTCTCTATACGTTTTCAAACCTAATACTTTTCCTTATGTTTTCCCATATGAATTGAGCCGTTGCTTTCAAACATGCTCGGGCCAGAAAATGAGAATGTGTTTGCTTGGAAATAAAGATGAAAAAAATGTTACAAGCACCTCCAGCAATATAATGGAAAATGTTATTGTCCAGTCTACCCCCTATTGTATTCTCTATGCCTGTCTTGTGTGTTTAGCGGGGGTGGTATTGCTTCCCAGATTTAAGGAAAAAAAGTTTTGTTTTCTCTGTTTTATCAGCACTCTGAAGCTGGGAGGAAAGCATGACAGCACCATCTGTATCAGAAATGCAGGGGAAGCAGAAATACAACAAGAGAGGCTTTACTTCAAAACATGTTGTGCAAAAGGTAAGAGTAAAGTGCAAACCCAAATGTCCCAGTGACCTGAAGTGGTTTGAGAATGCTCGTTACATGAGATGAGTTTATGTATTTTAAGAATCATTACACATTAGACATGTTGGCCAAAAAAAAAAGAAAAAAGAAGTCCTTAACAACTCCACTTCTATCATCAATACAAAGAGGATTGAATGTATTTGCAGCTTGCAGTTTTTATTTTAAGTTACAAGATTTGTGGATCTTTCAGTTGAATGAGATGGTCTATTGATTTCAGCCAGTAGTCACAAATTCTGTGTAGTGCCTTTAACAATTTAGTGAATTACTTGCATGGGAAAAATGTGGAGCCTGTGACCCTTGAAGGGGCTTGTGTCAGGGCACTTTTTTCAGCCACTTGGGGGCAGTGAAAACAAGTTGGGAGCACACACTGAACACTCCGGTGGAGTTTGTGCTTGTTCAGCCAAACGGGGTCGTTGAATAATGTAGCTGTACTGTGATTGGTCTAGACACATGTGTACATTAGTTTTCTGAACATATAAATGCCATTTAAAAAGAAGCAAAAACAGCCCAAACAGTGAAATGCATTCCAACAAAAACAAGCAAGTCAGTCCAGTCTTTAATGAGCTTATATACAATGGAGAAATCTTTGCTTCATGCACTATACAGTGAAGCAGAGACTGAAACAGGATTCCAAGGAAATTAAGGACCACTGCGAGAAGATTATCAGTGCTGACAGACTGTTACATTACATCAGTCATTATTGGTGTTGAAAATAAAAACTGTAAAAATATAAAGGCTTGGATGGTATCTAATTCCCCAGGGACTTGAACAGGTGTTACCAGAACTGTTTGTTCTCCTAAGCTACTTTCAAACCAAAGCCAGACTCAATGTTTTCCTTTAGAGAAGGTACATTTGGTGTCATTCATACAGAAGTTGCTGTTGCAGGTAGTTCAGGCCTCTATGTTCCTCAATTCCAGCTGTGACTCAGATGGTAGAGTGGGTAATCTATCAATTGGAAGGTCAGTTGATCAATCCCCCAGCTCTTCCAGTCTGTATAGTGAAGTCTCCAAGTCTGCATGTTGAAGTACTGAACCCGTAGTCTCCCCCTGAATGCAACTTTACATTTTGATGCATTTGTATGTGCACATTAGAAAAATATAGATAAAAGCTCTGGGTAAATGAGATTTGTAGTAGAAAGTGCTCAACTTGAATAGAAAGCAAGCTTTAGTTACCTCGTCATAACAATTTATTATAAAGAATAAGTTTGATCTAGAGGTCCCTGGTGCCAGGGCACTATATCTGTTATTAATGGTGGAAGGCTTTGTTATATGGACAACAAGAACAGAATAAAGGTTTATCTTTATTTGCTGTGTTTTCTTCCTGAACTGAACAGAATGTTTCAGCTCATCATGTAAACTATGGCTGGGCGTGACTGAATCACTGGAATCGATATATCGAGTATTTCCACATAGAGCTACCATATGATATACTTTGCCTTTAATGACCCTATTTTATAAGACCTGTGCTGCTTATAAAATTCTTTTAGCTTTTCAAATGTTTAAAAAGACAATTTTCTGTGACGAGGAACTTAAAAAGAGAGAGACCCAAAGAAAAACTTTTTTTCTTGAATGTTCCCAGCTTTACTCCAGGGATCTACAGCCCCTGCTGCTCCAAAGGCTTACATGGCTTTCTGATTTATAAGCAGCTGGAATTGCAGGAACTGAGAACAACACAATGGAGCTTGGTAGGGTGGGCTTAGATAAAGGGTGCAGGAATCGGTGGAGGATAGGACATAGAATTGTCCTTGAGAATCACAGAATGGAGCAGGCTTTTAGCCAAACGGCTCTGCTTCTTTATTGTGCTCATCCTAGTCTCCTCAGTAGTGCAGAAATCCCTTTTTTGGCAGGCAAACAGAGAAAAAAGGCAAGTGTTTTGTTGCTTTTGCTGCAGATTAAAGGGTGATTTTAGGGTACTGCATGATTCTAGTATTTGTAGATTACATGTATTCGAAATACCATCATGTGACCTGACCTTAAATACTAAAAATGTGAATTGCCATCTTGTAAATACCACCAGAATAAAGGTTCTTTTTTAGGAGATTCATTTGAACAAACTGGCTCAGGAATAAACGAGGACTGGCATATTTGAGAGAGGGTCATTTCTATAAAGGCTTCTATTGATATAAGGTTTCACAAACATTGAAAATTCTGTCCATGTGTAATGATGATTTGTCTAACAACACCACAGTAATTGTGCAATAAGTCCCTCAAGCAAATTTTGGTTCAATAAAATGTGCCTTCAATGTTACCAGGTTGCCTTTTGTCATATTTAGTCTTTATTGATTAGAGAGACCAGATTCTACATTGGTGTGCTTAACAGCTTTTAGGGTGTACTTTTACAAATGTGAAAATGAAAATATCCTCACAGTAGAAATGATTGGATTGGTGTGTGTGTGTGTGTGTGCGTGCGTGCACGTGTGTCTCAGCTACTGAATCTGTGCACAGGGCAGTTAATATAAGCATGGTGTCTTCCCTACATTTAAAAGGGGAAAAATGGGTTTGAAGCATCCTAAATTTTAGCAAGGCACAGGAAAGCCAGGAGTGTGAGAGGTGGCACTTATAGTAGAAAACTGTTTACATATCTAATGCATAATGCAAAAAAAAAATCTGTTGTAATGCACCATGGCACTATTTATCTCTTAACTCTGTCTTCTGCACTGTGTAAATGATAGTTGTTTTATTTTGTATTTTTTTTTTTAAACTGGATAGAGCCAACAAGCTGACGATTCTTCAGACATTTTGGTCCATATTGACATGATAGCATCACATAGTTGCTGCATATTTGTTGGCTGCATATCCATGATGTAAATGCCATTCCCCCACATCAAAAAGGTGCTCTACCGGATTGCGATCTGGTGACTGTGTACAGTGGCGTGCAGTGAACTCACTGTCATGTCCAGGAAACCAGTTTGAGATGATTTGAGCCTTGTGACATGATGTTTTGTCCTGTTGGAAGAAGCTATCAGAAGATGTAGCTCAGGAGGCAGAGCAGGTCATCTACTGATTGGAAGGTTATTGGTTCGATCCCTGGCTCCTCCAGTCTGCATGCCAAGTATCCTTGGACAAGATACTAACCCCAAATTGCTCTCCGACGTGTCCAATGTGTATGAATGGTAGTTAGGAATCACTAAGAAACTTGGAAGACAGTGCTTGTGTGACTGGGTCACTGTGGCTTTGAGTATTCCGGGAGAGTAGAAAAGTGCTATATAAGAAGCAGTCCAGTTATCAAACTGGTGGACATGGTCAGGAACAATACTCGGGTTAACTGTGGCATTTAAACAATGCTTAGCTGATAAAAGTGACACCTCACATGGGCTTCTGTTTGCATAACCCATGTTCAGGGTTTTTATTGTGCATTCAGTGGATTTCTTTGACCATTATCTGTAAACGCCAGAGATGTTTGTGCAGGAAAATCCCAGCAGATCAATAGTTTCTAAAATGCTCAAACCAGTCCGTCTGACACCAGTGATCATGGCTTTTCTGCTTTCTCATCTTTCCTACTAGTTAAACAGGTGCACCTAATAAAGTAAATTGTAAATGCTTGTTGCCATCATAAATGACATCTATCTTAATAGTTTGATGCCAGTGTGATATGTGTGTAGATGATCATTTTAGAGTGAAACCAGCTATTTTCTTTATTGCGCTGCTGCTCTCTGAGCCTACTGTCTCTTTGTTTCTCTTTAGGCTGAGCTAAAATCTACTTTAAAAAGGAGAATTCAGTTTTTTATTGTATATTTGTGCAATAATATTAAAGGCACTGAGTCACATTTAATGTGAGAGAATACAATAATAGACAATTTATCGTCTCACAGAAGGAAAGCACAGGTGTATTAATTATGATCATTTTGTGTTTAGTGGAGGTTCTGATTTTGTGCACTCTGCAGGTTTTCTGCTCGTGTATTACAAACCGGTGACCCACCAGACCTAAATTGACCCCTTGCTTTGTCTGAGGACCAAAATGATTAGTGATTGGCATTTTGGCATTAGTATTTTATTTTATATTATATTTTTAGAAAAATGTTTAGTTTAGTTATCTAATTGTTTTCTGCATTTACCCATTTCAAACATAAAAACAACTTGAAAGACTTGTATGAAGAAATAAAAGAGGAAAGAAAAGGAAAGTCCACTAATTAACATGGGCCTGTGCCACCACACAATCAGCATTATAATAGATGGATAGCACTACATGAAACATGTATATTGAATTAATATTACATTTTAGTTATGAAAATTGACCCAAAAATCCTTTTCGAGGACAATTTAATGATTGATGTCATCAGTCACGTGTCTACTTTAAATGCACACTGTATATAAGTTTTAAAAGACGCATACAGAAACTCTGGTGCTGTGTTTGAATCCACGTTACAGTAGTAGAACTACTCATTTCAGATGGTTAATGCGGTCCTGCCTCTGCAGACATTCAGTTTTTACGCTCTGTTCACTCATCTGAGGCGAAGCCTGCTGTAATTCGACGTAACCAGCAGAAAATTCACTTCACATTTGTAAAGCTTACATACAACGTAAGTCATTTATCAGAGGAGGTTTTTTTTAGATCTTCACCCGACTGTGGTCTTTGTGAGTTTCTTTTTTCTTAATAAACATTATCATGGGGAATGCAGTTTCTGTGAACCAGAGGCAAAAGGCTGAAATGTAATTTTGAAATCAGAGTCGAGATCAAGTCACTGCAGACTTGGAATATCTCAAATATGTTTTTTATTAAAGGCAGGGAAATTATAGGACAAGGGCGTCCTGGAAATTGTTCTTTGTTCAGCGTTGTATAGAGCCTCCAGCTTTTTGAACCGTCCACGTGCTTTGACCCTGTCCTTTGTTCCTCCTGACTTCACATGGGATTTCCAGCTTGCAGGCAGAACTGTGTGTTTTTATTAAGACATCTGTCTACTGTGTTCCCCAATTAGCCCGTTATTTCTGTGAGCTCTGTGTACATTTTCCATATTT